GCTCCGCTCGCTGCCACGCGCTGTGGCCACCTCAGGGGCCACTGCATCACACTGACGGGCTCTCACTGGGGGGAGGCGTCACATCCAAGTCTCCGGAAGAATCCGTATCCGTCCCCGGGAAATGCATTGTTTTATAGCAGGGGGTAGAAATCTGTCCACAAAAAAGGAGGGATTGAAGGCTACTTTAGTGCTTCTGGGTGTAAATGAGGGGGCTGTTTCTGCTGCCAGTTTAGCAGTGCAATTCTCCGTCTTCTGGAAGTCAGCACAGTCCCAGAGGAGTTCATATTTAAAAGTGTGTAATGAACAAAAAGCGTGTTTTCCACCACAGCAAGCAGAGCCCCTTTTGCAGGCTTTCTTTTGCAGGCACAGCCCATGCAGGTGTTTCGTTTGAAGCGGGTTTTCATGATGCTCCTGGCTTGTGTGGTGGGATAGAACTTATTAAAACAAATGCAGGGAGCACTCAGTAATGTCCCCTTCCCAGAGCATTGCCCCATCTTGTTGATGTGCTCACTCTTAGAGTTGAAGACCATTTTCATGCCGGGTGAGAGCTGCGTGGTGAGCACTGAGTGCTGCGAGGAGGCAGGATACCCGATGTCAGCGGTGATGCACTCTGAAAGACCTGCCTCAACGTGCTCAGGCTGGCCACATCTGTCACACAGTGTTGCTTTTGTCCCCGTATTAGATGAAGATCATTTTTTTGTGGAGAACAACCTGCTTGTCCACCCAGCCCTTGGACTGAGTGATCCTTGAAGCTTTGTTCAGATGTCCTGCAGGGCCTGTGGGGATGCAGGGACCCTGGTGGAGCAGCGTCTCCTCAGCAGGCCGCTGCGCGAGCCTTCAGGAGCCCCTCTCACACATCCCCACCACAGGTAACCACAGGACTCTGCACTGTGTTTTTGCTGGTGTCTGTCCTGCATGTCTGCTTCCAAATGTCTGTTGAGAAGAAAGTTTTCCCTTTTTACACAGAATCGTTTGGTTCTAGCCTTTTTAAACTAAAAAGGTAGAAGTAGAAAATTCTGCTCTTTGAGAACAGTTGAGAACTTCGCAAGATTAGAGGAACAGCCTCGTGCAGCAGATACTTCTCAACTCATGTGGCCTTCACATGGCTCATTCCTGCACATACGTGATGATGCCTCGTTGACACCAGATTTCTCCAGGGGCCTGTGCAGGAGGATGACACCTGTGCACAGTCTTCCTTGCACTGTAAGAATGATCTCTACTCTCTTGGTGTTGCAGTCCTTTCAGCATTTCACCTTGCAAGCTACTCAACATTATCTGGTTGGTTTTAATTCCAGACAGGCAAGTATAGATGACAGTTATTTAGAGGATGACAGGATTATGGCAGCGGTGTTTTTCATGTTGCAGTATAATTCACTTAGAAATGTTTAATTTCACACATTTCACTTAGAATGTTCCCAAGCGTATCTACCTGTTTAGAAAAATAAATAGTGAACCTTCACCTTTGACAAAATAGCTTCACAGGGAGCTCACACCCTTCGCCAGGATTATGCTTCCAGCAGCTGTCAATATCTGACTCCACACTTCTCTAAGTGTGAATACATATTTTTACAGGTCTTTTCTCACAAATCTTCTCTCTCTGCTGTTCCATGGCTTGTATTTTCCAGTCCCAGGAACAACTTCGTGACACACAATTTCTCCTACTGGGAGATGGGCATCAACAGCTTTTGTTGTCTGTGACAATATTGTCCTAAATGCTTCAGAGATTTTTTCAGTCCTAATCCTAACAGAGTCTTCTATATCTATTCCTCATTATCTTCTTTGCTTTTGTTTTCTGTGGGGGCTGACAAGTCTGTTGAGAACAGAGATAGTGGCAATACGGGAAAGTAAGGCAGCAATTTGGTTTCTTTTGTGATGTAGAGTTTTAGGATCTCAAGAGTTTTAAAACATTCAGCACAAAGTAAAGCATGGTGAAAGTCGGGGTTTTTCTTATGCGAAAGTTTTTTCTTCTTCCAAACAAAAGTCAGCTTTTTTAATTATTGGACTCCTATGTCTGAATTTGTTAGGATTTATTGGAAAGAAGGAAAGTAGTCTGTGCTATACTCATGGTGTAATGCCCCAACAATTTATCTTTATATAATCTCTGTTTATCAGATTTGGTGTGTATAAAAATGGAAAGATCATGCATGTGTTACAGAAAGCAGTTCAGATGCCTGGATTAAGTTGTATTTATGTGGTATTATCTTTAATAGTAAAGCAGAAGGGTTTGAATGTTATAGAGAAGTAGGCTTTATATTGCAACTACAAAAACCTCTGAAGTCAATTTTGAAGTAATAGCTTTTCTCTCATGTTTAGAGAAAAACTATCTTCATGGGTAATAACTAACCACCTTTTCCTTTATTATTTCCTACTGGATCAGTGCAAATTGTTATTACTCAGTATTTACTTGGGAACAGAAAGAATTCGACTCAGAGGATTTAAAATATTGATAGCATTTGCAAAGGAACTCTTTTAACCAGCTGTGTTTTTTTCTAGTTTTGAAGCACAGCAACATTCACTAAAAACAAGGAGGGCATTCCTTTGGGTTCCTCAGTGATGGTGGTGATCTAATGAGCTTAGTTTGGTTACTCATTTGATGCCAACAGTGTTGAGAGGTTTCCTTCTATAATGTTGTCTTCAGCACTCACTGGACGAGGCTTCCCAGTTTCTCCTTGGGCTGGACCTCTCCTGGTACTTTGTCTACTCAATTCCTCCGCACCACAGAGGCACATATTCCACCTCTGCAACTCATTTGTCATGTGAATGGCTCAAAATCACCTTCTCTAGTCAGAATTTTTCTCCTTTTACCTAGACATACGCTATCTGCAGAACTTATCTTTTTCTAGTTCTCTTCCTGGTTGGAGTGCCCTGTTCCTCCCCCATCATTCCAGCCCAGTGTGCTTCTGTTGGATCCATCTGTTAAATAAAAGATTTTTCCCAATCTAAGTCACTCAACTGGTTTTACTTGTATAACTGGAGAAGGCTGGTGTAAGGGTGCAGTCCTCCCCTAGATTGTGGCCATATAGGTGGTCACTGATGCAGTTTTCCCATTCCATATCAAGGTGACCTGTTGCTGTTTTCACTTCATTTGCTAGTTTTACCTTTTTTTAAAAAAAAAATTCTCTCAGTGCTCAGTTTCACCCAAATTAGCAGCAATGATCCTCAGCTCTCCAAGCCTACAGGCTGAGCCATAGATTGACCCCACAGATCTGTGAGGTCCTGCGGAGACATTACTGATTTTCTACACAAGCATCAAGTGAATTGACAATCTGGCGATGATAGATTTGAAGGTGGGCCGAATATTGATACCAGATAAAATCCTGATCTTCCGTTTAACTTCGGACTTTACTAAGGACAAGCCTGCCATGCACACTGCTTCTGGGGGTTGAGTCAAGCATAACACGATTGCTCAGGAAATTTTTCCTGCTCCTAAACTAACCAGGCAAAAAAATGGTTTCTGACAGTATTGTAGCCAAAGGCCTTTAGCAATCTGGACAGCAAGCAAAGCAATAAAAACAAACTGCTGGCTCTTTTCTATGCCTGTCCCATAACTAATGCTACATTTTCCTTGACCCAGTGTTGCTTGTCCATATACAAGACATTTCTAAGTTCTCTCTTCTAAGTAGTTGGTTTGGGTATTTTAATCACTTGTTGATGTTGCTCACCATATCCTTGACACCGTAACTGCATCATTCAGACACTAGATCTGCAGGTATTCGTTCTGCTGACGACAAATGGTGTCTCTGCAGCTTGCCTGAATTGCAGTCTGCCGCAAACAGAGGGTCTCTCTGTAAAACCTGTGTGATCGATGTATTTAGCACACAACTGGCATGCAAAAAATTTGTATGCATTTGATATCTGCGTTTAGTTGTTTCAACAGCTGGTGGAGAGAGATGAACAGAAATGACAGACTTTAAACAAGTTTATGCTGTAAATTATGGCTCGGAGTCTTGACTGACTAACTTGCCTGGAAAGGCAGTCCTCCTAATGCAAGGCTATAGCTTAGGGCATCCTACTTACAACTGAAAAAGAAGAGATTTTGTCTGAGCATAGCGATAAGCTGAGAGATAGAAGATGCTCTCCAAGAATTGTCTGACATGAGAGATGGCTAATAGGAGTGAGAGATGGCTAATGGGAGTGAAGGGTAGAATCATAGAATCATAGAATGCTTAGGGTTGGAAGGGACCTCTAGAGATCATCTAGTCCAACCCCCCTGCACACGCAGGGTCACCTAGAGCACGTGCTTGGACTGCATCCAAGCGGGTTTTGAAGATCTCCAGAGAAGGAGACTCCACAACCTCTCTGGGCAGCCTGTTCCAGTGCTCTGGCACCCTCACTGTTAAGAAATTTTTCCTTAAGTTCCTGTGGAACTTTTGGTGCTTCAGTTTCCAGCCATTTCGTCTAGTCCTAAATACATGGAAGAGAGGGACAGACAGAAAGAATGAGGGATGGTCATGCCTGAGCAACTAGGATGTTCCAGGGACCATTCTTAATAGACCACTTGCCTGTGACCATCTATTTTGGAAGAAGAAGGTCTGTCATCATGACTCCAGAAGCCAGGGCATCTTGATGCCCCAGAGCAGCAGGACAGAGGAGCTGGGGTTTCCTCATCCCCCAGATTGGGCTGCTGGCAGAAAACAGGCTGGGCAGCCTCAGGCTGTGGCACGGAGGGCAGCACCAGAGGGGCTGCAGTGGAGCAGTATTAGGGCAGCTGTAGCAGTTACTTTAGCTGCTGCAAGGGCTTGTGCCCAGTGCAAAGATGCAGTTCTGCTCTACCTGAAACTGAGTGGTTTTATAACCCTATGTGGTGGCTTTTATTAAACTGCATTGCTGATTTATGGGTAAATAGGAAACCTTTCCCCATTCACAATAAGAATCTTTCTGACA